GGGTGAGGTGTGGTGAAGATCACTGTAGAGGGTCGTCAATGCCTTGACAAAGTCTCTATTTAGGTTCCTAAAGGATATTCTAATGTTTGTCAACATCACACATATATGTTGATGTGTTACCCTGATGTTACGTGGTCTTGGTGTTCACATTAAATTCACTCTAAAATTCTGTTTTTCTGTCCCATTCCTGTAGCTGCCTTCCGCATATGGTGTAGATGCCTCCTAGTCCTCTTTCCCATCTCCATTACCTTACACTGGTTGAGATTGAATTCTAGAAGTCATTTGTCTATGCATTCCTGGAATACGTCAAGAGCTTCATTTAATTTTCTGGAACTCTCGTCGGTGTTTACATTCCTCATTTGCTTAGTGTCATCTGCAAACATTTTGATGTAACCGCTCACTCCCTTGGGTAGGTCACTCACATAATTTAGGAACAGCAGTGGTCCCAGGACTGAGTCTTGGTGGTGGTGGTGGTAGTGGTGGTGGTGGTGGTGGTAGTGGTAGTGGTAGTGGTGGTGGTGGTAGTGGTAGTGGTAGTGGTGGTGGTGGTAGTGGTAGTGGTGGTAGTGGTGGAGGCGTGACCAACAAGTTATGGAGGTCAAGGCACGATGCCGCTGGTATTCCAAGGCCTCTAGATTGAGCCTCCTCCACCCTGCCCCAACCAGCATCCCCAAGGACGTGGTCAACCGGTCCGGCCGCTGCTCGGGCCCCAACCTAGGGACCCAAAACCTGAGACCCCAGGCCAGGGACCCCAGGCCAGGGACCCCAGGCCAGGGACCCCAGGCCAGGGGACCCCCAGGCCAGGGGACCCCAGGCCAGGGGACCCCCAGGCCAGGGGACCCCCAGGCCAGGGACCCCAGGCCAGGGACCCCCAGGCCAGGGACCCCAGGCCAGGGACCCCCAGGCCAGGGACCCCAGGCCAGGGACCCCCAGGCCAGGGACCCCAGGCCAGGGACCCCAGGCCAGGGACCCCAGGCCAGGGGACCCCCAGGCCAGGGGACCCCCAGGCCAGGGACCCCAGACCAGCCCTGTGTGTGTGTGTACACGTGTACTTATGTGTGCTGGGAGTCGCCACTCCACAATCCAGCCTTAACTACTCACCAACTGCTCCGACGGTTCGTAGAATTACCCAAGACGTCTTAAAATTCTGTAATAAAGAAAAAAAATATAACACCTACCTTATCCCTGACTTACCTTCAAATTGGTAACGCATATAGAACGTTAATAAAACGTCATCTTACACGGAGAAGTATTCGTTTGTATGATAAATGTTTCTCATTGTAAATATTTTGATATTTACAAACGTAGATTAGATATTTTGATATTTACACGGAGAGTGTAAATATCAGAATATTTATGATGATACTTTATTATTGCCATCATTTTCATAATTGCGGTGATGTTTACTCACACTCTGTCATTCAAATTCAAATTCAAATTCAAATATTTATTTAGGTAAAGTACATACATACAAGGGGGTGATACAAATATTGATGAATTTATAGATAGAGCTAGTACATATAATAGACCATATAGGATGGTCATCATTGTAAGTGTTACGGTGAGTAAATGTGTTTTAGTGTTACTCTGTTTACGTTATCCTGAGAGGTTGTGGTTAGGCCTATGGACCAGTTTGAAGTATAACACTATAAAAAGTGTTTGGATCGACTAGTGCTCTACAGGACCACTGCTCCTGCAGGATGGCCATACACCAAGACGTTGGTGTGGGACACGTTGGGACACGTTGAGTGGGACTGGAGAGAAGAGGGCGGGGTGGTGGTGGTGGGGACTTTCTAGCGTGAGTTTGGGTGTGTGTGGCCGTGTCCGGCGCCCCCGTCGGCAGAGAGAAAGTTCTCAAATAATAAGTTAGTGAGAGTTTCACACTTCACTCAGCGCTCCAAGATGGCGGCATCTCCTTAATAAAACAAAACAAAAAGAGTGATTTTCGTTGTCACATGTTGTGAGAATTTGGAATAAAATGTACTTTCTCTTCTCGAAAGCTGTTCGAGTTGCACGCAAATCTTGCAAGAATTAGTGTCAAAATATTGCCACACGACTCAGAATTTACAAATAAAATTCAAATCAATCATGTAATGTACTGACCTAAGAAGTCGCCCGATAGATTGATTGATGAAGATTAAGCCACCCAAGAGGTGGCACGGGCATGAATAGCCCGTAAGTGGGAAAATTTTGGGAGTGAATGTGATCTTTATTCGTGAAGAAGTCGTCCACAGTAAGGTTTGTGATACACTGGTCAGATGTGTCTCCCACGGCAGTTATTAAGATGCAAGTGAGGCAGTTTATACTTTTTCTTAATTCTGTTCAATAATGTTAAATATTGTTAAATGTTGTTAAACATTGACCGGAGTCTTACTGCCCAGAGATTACAACACGGAGGATGTATCAACAAATTATTTCATTAATATTCCCTTGAATATCTGTGATGGTGTGCGAACTGCGTACATATACCGTATGTACATGTTCATCTTGAACATGTACACACCTCCAAGGTGAATAACGATGAGTTGTTCAGCTGGATCTGAACATCACCGTCATTCCTTTCCTTTAGTCGTGGTCAGTATTCATTATTATGTGGTTAGATGTAATTACATTTGCATATATTCGGTTTTGTTAATTGTTTAGGTTAAGATATGTTGGGATAGTTTGGATAAGATTATGTTTGGTTAGTTTTTAGTCAAATATGGTTAGGTGATGTTGGAATAGGTAAGGTTAGGTAATGGTAGGGTATATTGGGTTATACTCCAGCAGGCTCCCCTACACCTAGAGTGCTGCCTCCAACACCTACACCTAGAGTGTTGCCTCCAACACCTACACCTAGAGTGTTGCCTCCAACACCTACACCTAGAGTGTTGCCTCCAACACCTACACCTAGAGTGTTGCCTCCATCACCTACACCTAGAGTGTTGCCTCCAACACCTACACCTAGAGTGTTGCCTCTATCACCTACACCTAGAGTGTTGCCTCCATCACCTACACCTAGAGTGTTGCCTCCATCACCTACACCTAGAGTGTTGCCTCCATCACCTACACCTAGAGTGTTGCCTCCATCACCTACACCTAGAGTGTTGCCTCCATCACCTACACCTAGAGTGTTGCCTCCATCACCTACACCTAGAGTGTTGCCTCCATCACCTACACCTAGAGTGTTGCCTCCATCACCTACACCTAGAGTGTTGCCTCCATCACCTACATCTAGAGTGTTGCCTCCATCACCTACACCTAGAGTGTTGCCTCCATCACCTACACCTAGAGTGTTGCCTCCATCACCTACACCTAGAGTGTTGCCTCCATCACCTACACCTAGAGTGTTGCCTCATCACCTACACCTAGAGTGTTGCCTCCATCACCTACACCTAGAGTGTTGCCTCCATCACCTACACCTAGAGTGTTGCTTCCATCACCTACACCTAGAGTGTTGCCTCCAACACCTACACCTAGAGTGTTGCCTCCATCACCTACACCTAGAGTGTTGCCTCCAACACCTACACCTAGAGTGTTGCCTCCATCACCTACACCTAGAGTGTTGCCTCCATCACCTAC